AAATTTGATCTGAATCCAATCATGAACAAAGTTACAAATCCCTAAAATGAGACATTCGGTAGGACAACTGCCTTGGACTCCAGAGTCTTCATAGAAAGGTGGAAGGCTGAAGGGACATAATAGTCAATGCAATAGGCAAACTCTGAATCTGGGGCAGGACAAACGACAAACTATAAAGGACATTTTTCAAGAAAACTGAGATAAATAATAAAATATATGCTAGATTACACTTCTGAATTAAAGCTGATTTTCTTGGGTATATCATGAGGTAATACTTGTGAAGGAAATCATACTTGGCCCTTGGGAGAAGCAGACTAAAGAACTTAGGAGTAAAATGTTATGGTATCTATTACCTACCTTCAAACAGTTTGGCAAAAGGGTAGAATATATGTGTGCAAAAAGATATGGAAGAGGTGTGTCAAGATGTTAACATTTCATGAATCTAGACAATGAAGTTATCAGGTATTCATTATAGCATGCTTTTAGCTTTGCATTTTTTAGCTCTTTGGCTGTAAATTTTAAAAATAACTTCTGCAGCATGCGGAAATAATATGCAAATATTCCTGTGTGATAATCACTCTAGTTTCTCTATAAGAAGGTTCATTATGCAAAAGAAAACATCGACCCATCCTGTGACCAAATTCTAAAAGAGTGATATTTTGATATTAATATTCTAAATAAATTTTTAAAATTATAAAACCAGCTGGGCATAGTGGCTAACACCTGTAATCTAACACTCTGAGTGGGCAAGAAGGGTAGATCACCTGAGCTCTGAAGTTCAAGATCACCTGAGCAACTCAAGATCCTATCTCTACTAAAAATAAAAAAAACTAGCCAGATGTTGTAGCAGGCACTACAAGTCCTAGATACTTGGAAGGCTAGACAAGAAGATTGTTTGAGCCCAAGAATTTGAGGTTTCTGTGAGCTATGATGCCATGGCATTCAACCCCAGGGCGACTGAGTAAGACTATCTCAGAAAAATAAAAATAAATAAATAAATAAAAATAATAAAAGCATGCATGTAGCCTTCCCCTTAGTCTCTAATATTATAACATAAGGTAGTTAATGACTTCAAGAGATCTTGTGATAGTAATAATTACGTGGCTAAGCTCAGTGGGTCACATCTGTAATCCTAGCACTTTGGGAAGCCAAGGTGGGAGGATCACTTGAGGCCAGGGGTTTGAGATCAGCCTGAGCAACATAACAAGACTCTGCCTCTACAAAAAATAAAAAAAATTGCTGGGCCTGGTGGTGTGCATCTATAGTCTCCACTATACTACTCCTTGTGAGGCTGAGGCAGGAGTAATCTTTTAAGCCTGAACCCAGGTGCTAGAGGTTACAGTGAGCTAGGATGATGCTACTGCACTCCAATTTGGGTAATAAAGCAGATCCTGCCTCAAAAAAAAAAAAATTCATGTTTTATCAATTCTCTCTTCATTCTTCTACTTTAGTGCTTAGAAATGTGTTTTATAATTACCTGTGTACCTCTATTTCCTTCTCACTAAACTAAACTCCTAAAGGACAGGGAGTATCTCATATTTATCATAAAATTTTATCAAAAATAATATCTGACATAATAAACTCAGTAAATTTTAGTTGAATAAATGAAAAAGTTGGGTAAAGCTAACTTTTTCTTCTTCTTTTTCTTTTTTTTTGAGACAGAGCCTCAAGCTGTCCCCCTGGGTAGAGTGCCATGGCATCACGCTCACAGCAACCTCCAACTCCTGGGCTCAATCAAGTCTCTTGCCTCCGCCTCCCAAGTAGCTGGGACCACAGGCGCCCGCCACAGCGCCTGGCCATTTTTTGGTTGCAGCCATCATTGTTGTTTGGCGGGCCTGGGCTGGGGATTCGAACCCGCCACCTTAGGTGTATGTGGCTGGCGCCTTAGCCGCTTGAGCCACAGGCGCTGAGCCAAAGCTAACTTTTTCTAATAAAATACTTCCCATTGTTCTCAAACTATACTTTCTCTGAAAATTCACTTAAGTTCAATGATTTCAGCCTAAAAATGTTTCTCCCACCAATATTTTAATATTAAATATTTTAGATGTAAGTGTACATTAGGACAAAAGTAAAACAAATTATGGACACTCATATAATGGACTTAAATCTAGCCACTAATGATTAACAAAACATTTAATATATAAATATACACACACATATATATATATATATTTTTTTTTTTTTTTTTTGAGGCAGAGTCTCACTTTGTCACCCTCAGTAGAGTGCCACTGCATCATACCTCACGGTAACTTCAAACTCTTGGGCTTAAGTGATCCGAGTAGCTGGTACTACAGGAATCCACCACAATGCCTGGCTATTTTTAGAGCTAGGGTCTCACTCTAGCTGAGGCTAGTCTCGATCTCCTGAGCTCAGGTGATCCACCTGCCTGGGCCTCCCAGAGTGCTGGGATTACTGGCATAAATCACCACATCTGGCTTAATATATGATCTTAACAGTGTTAAAAAATGCATTAAAAAGAAACAAGAAAATAATAGTTCTTTATTATATCAGATAATCTATTTTTCTTTCTTCATATACTTTCTTACAACTTCAAAAATTCCTGAAAGTAGGAAATAGTATTCTTATCACTTAAAAACTTCAATTAAGACAAGAAAGAAAAAGAGAAACTTCACTTGACTACCTTTTTCAAAACTTCCTCTGGGATATTACATGAAGAAATTAACTCAGTATCCATTTGCAAGGATTTATCTCATAATGAATCTTTAATTTCTAAAACCCTATTAATCATAAAACTTTTCAGTACAAAAATACTTAATAATTTAAAAACTGAAGCATCTCTACTACACGCCAGAATAATGTTAATACAATACTATACAGTACCCAAGCTAGGGCTTTAGATATTTTATTAATACAGTATATACCAGAATTATAACCTTGGTTTAAATGACAGGCTATTAAGACTGTTAAAAGTT